ACCCAATTGGTAAAAAAAATTTATCACTTTTATGGACAATTTTCTTACAAAACAAAGTCAAACGAATGGTATTCGATATGATAATTTTTTTTTTTTTTTTGGCAAGTTAAACAATTTCTAGACCCAATGGTGAAAAAAATTATCACTTTAATGAATAATTTTTATGAAAAACAAAATCAAATGGACACCAAACTACATTTTTCAGGTGAAAAATTATACCAATCATGCATAATTAATTACAATTCTTATTAAAACAATTTTTAGGCAATTCAATTCTCTAAATTCATTTTCTTTCAACTCATTTTCCACATTTGCAATCAAATGGACCCTAAAAATATTGAATTTGGAGTTTTCCATTGCTTTACCATACAAATTGGTATTTGTAAGAATCAATGATTTGTTGGTCAATAATCAATTTTCGATATTCGCACGTGACTCAATGAGCGATGTTTAAAGAAAAGAAGATATGTTGCTTGATCATCAATTGGAGCTCTATATCGAGAAGTTGCTTCTGTAGTACAAAACTATGGTGTATATGGAACAAATTGAAATTGATTTTCACCTTTTCCGTGATAAAGTTTCCACCGTGCATCTATGCATTTCTCACTCTCAACGAAGGTCAATTGGTTGATGGTCTCACCATGTATATTTCCCAATCTCGGTTCCTTCAACTTCTGTCCAAGATTGGCACCATCGAAGGTGGCACCATCTTGCCGGGCATAATACAAGAAAATATCTTTTCCAAGATTTTACCATGTCTAAACAAGGAAGATATCACCTATTACTTTCATATTATTGTATATAATTTATTGGTCAATATTCTGTTGATTTACTTAATTTCTTTGTAATCATTTAGTGATTTAGTTTCCATAGCTTCATTCCACAAGTCAGATGCACTCAATTAGCTAGATGTATGTTCAGTATTTCACTTCATATTTTTTCTTCTGATAAATTTGGCAGTAAGTACAGGTTGGCCTGTTAAACTCATATTAGCTAAAAGATAGGCATAAGATCTGGATAAACAGAAAACCATAAGAAAATGCCAGAACCTTGGCATGTTTGGTACACTACAGTACATTACAATGAATAAAACTTTGGTTTCTTTTCGTCCTTTAACGTTGTCCAAATCTATCTAGTACTAAGTACCAGACAACCAAACAGTAGGAAGTCAATATGGAACCATAGCATCCAAATCTCCAACATATTTTCTTCAATCTCTTTGATATATTCATACTGCTAATTGTAATTTTCTCCTCCCTCATTAGAAACTAGATTTTCTGATCTCCAGATTCAAACTTCACCCATGATACATCAAAATAAACTCCCAGTGTTTAAAGCAAGCCAAAATTGTCTACATTTATTCTCTTGAAATCTAGATGACATAAGTTTACAATATTCTTGAAAAATGTTACCTTAGCAGTACAAATTTCGAATGTCAAACTCTTTCAGTGGACCGTTTAATTTGCAATGCAGCTCTTACAACATTTCCTCTTGTAATAATTCCAACCTCAATAATCAAAACAATTGGCTAATCAGGACAAAAGTTAAAAACATTATCCCAACAAAGATGCTAATATAATATTAATGAAGCAGGTTCTTACCAGCTTACCATCACCATCCACAACAGGAAGGCGGCGATATTTTGTCTCAAGTAGTATACTGACGAGTAACAAAACACATTTTCAATTTTGTAGTCCTACTTTATTAAGCATGGATGGAAAAAAAAGATAAAAAAAGCAATGGTATGCCAAAATCAAGTAAAAGGTGCAGAACCTTGCAGCATCCTCAAGATTGGTGGATTCACAAACAACTACTGGAGCTGGCGTCATCAAATCACCAACCATTTTCCCATTGGTTTTGCTAAGCAAATTTTGCACTTCATTGAATGTCTGGAAGTTTATTCATAATAGAACATTATATAAACACATCTTCTGTCATCCGTCATTGACAACACATGCAGGCCAACAAGCATACAGACAGCATCATTAGATAAATGAACAGACTTGCAGTCCATGAGTCCAGCAGCATGTTCAATTTTCTCCAATCTATTAAAGTTTAATCGTGAGTATTTCTGAATCTAGACGGAACACTAGACATTGTGTATTCAACTTGACAGAATCCCTTTCAGCCTGCATTGGAGATGGATTTTTTAAACTACGTATTTTTTTGCTTATGTAGCACAATTTTTAAAGCAATCTACTATTGTGTTAGAGATGTTCTAAGGCAAAGATACCATAGAGTATTAGCAAAATAAGATCTTAGCATTTTGGAATCTAACCTACATTCATAAAATGGTCAATGATTGTGATTTACATAGGGAAAAGTGAAATCAGAATTAAATTTTTGTATTGATTAATGATTTGTACAAACATATGGACCTCTACTTATAATAAAACAAGAAGGAACAAAATACAAAACATAATCTCCTGAAAAAGGAAAAGAAAATTTTTCTTAACTAAAGATGGACCATTAAGGTACACAATATAAATCACAATCATCCCATAATTTTCGAGATTTCTATATTCTCCCTCAAGTTGGATCATTGATGTTTACCATTTCCAACTTGGAGATGAAATCACCAAAATTTTGTCCAGGTAGCCCTTTGGTGAAGATATCTACAATTTGTTCTGATGTAGGGACACAAGTCATGTATATAAGTCATTCTTGGTTCGACCATGTTGAACTGGATTAAAAGAGATGTTGATAGCTACTTTGTTATCGCAATAGAGTTTGATTGGGAATTTAGTGTAACTTGTAGTTCTTCCAAGAGTTTCTTTAATCATAAACATTCGTATATCCCTTGTGCAATAGTTCCAAACTTAGCTTCCACACTGTTTTTTGCCATTACATAATGTTTCTTACTTCTCCAAGTTACTCCACATATAATACAACGAGAAGGAACCAAATAGAAAACGTAATCTCCTAAAAAAGGGAAAAGAAAAATTTTCTTAATTGAAGATGGACTAGTAAGGTACAATATAAATCACAATCATCCCATAATTTTCATGATTTCTACATTGTCCCTCAAATAGATGTTTACTATATCCAACTTGTAGATGAAATCATCGAAATTTTGCCGAGGTAGTCCTTTAGAAAAGATATTTGCAGTTTGTTCTGTTGTGGGACACAAGTCATACATATAATTTCATCTTTAACCTTTTCTTTGATAAAATGTATGTCCACTTTTATTTGTTTGGTTCGATCATATTGAACTAGATTGAAAGAAATGTTGATAAGCTATTTTATTATCGCAATAGCATTTGATTAGGAATTTTTATGTAACTTGTAGTTTTTCAATGAGTTTCTTTAATCACAATCCTTCTTATATCTCTTGTAAAACAGCTCTAAACTGAGCTTCCACACTGCTTCTGGCCACTACATTATGTTTCTTACTTCTCCAAGTTACCAAGTTTCCCCAAATAAAGGTCAACAGCCAATGGTTGATCTTTTATCTTCTGTTGATCCTCTCCAATCAGCATCAGTGAATACTTTTACTTCCTTTCACTCTTCTTGAAGAGTCCTGAGGATTTTGTATACCGCTTTTACGTGAGCTACCTTTAGAGAATGCATATGTTGACTTACCAAGCTAACTGTAAATGCAATGTCTAGTATGTGATAGGTAGATTAGCTTGCCTGGTAGTCGTTGATATCTTTCCTTTTCAACTAGTTTTTGACGTTTTCTATTTTTCTTCCTGCGTCCATAAGTGTGTAGCTTGAACATCCACGCAGGCCAGTTTTAGTCAGGAGATTAAGAAAGTATTTTCGTTGAGAAACGCCGATACCCCTCTTTGATCTAGCGACTTTCATTCCTAATAAATAATGCATTTGTCCTAGATCTTTTATTTCGAATTCTGTAGCAAAGCTTGTCTTTAATCTTTCCATTACAATTGTATTGGCTCTAGTTAGGATTATGTCATTGACAAATACAATTAAGATTGTCTTCTTCCCATCTTCAAGTAATTGGAAGAATATAGTATGATTTGATTGTCCTTGCCGATACCTTTGACTTTTCAACACTTTTACAAATCTATCGAACCATCATTTTCCTAGAAAGCCTTTGAGATATCTGAGGATTCTATATATATCGCTTCTAGGTGAGCTTCCTTTGGAAAATGCATATGTTGACTAACCACACTAATTGTAAGTGCAAAGTCTAGTATGTGATAGGTAGATTAGCTTGCCTACTAGTTGTTCATAGTTGTCATTTTCAACTAGTTTCCTACGTCCTCTATTTTTCTTCCTGTATCCATAGGTGTGTCGCTTGATTTATATTCAAGCATGTCAGTTGGAGTTAGGAGATCAAGAACTTATTTTCGTTGAGAAACATTGATACCCTTCTTTGATCTAGTGACTTCCATTCTCAAGAAATACCGCATTTGTCCCAGATCTTTTACTTTGAATTCTGTAGCTAGACTTGTCTTTAATATTTCCATTTCAACTATATTATCTTTGCTTATAATTATGTCCTCAACATATACAATTAAGATTATATTCGTCCCATCTTCAGATAATTGGAAGATTATAGTATGATCTGACTGTCATTGCCAATACCATTAACTTTCAACACTTTTGCAAATCTATCGAACCATGCTCTTGATAATTTTTTAACCCATTCTCGATAAAATTTTCCCATTCAATTTTTCTACTGTGAATTGAGAGGAATTCTCGAGTCCACCTGTGTTCATGGTGGAGATGGCTTCTGCTTCACTGTTGAGAGATTCAGAGGTTGTCGACCTCTTGCTGTAGACGGCAATTTCCGTCATTGACAGCTTGGTTAGAAGAAAACCTGGCTTTGATACCATGAAGTTAGAATTGAATTTCTGTATTGATTAATAATTTGTACAAACCTATGGACCTCTATTTATAATACAATAAAAAGGAACAATAGGAAACTTAATCTTTTTTTTTATGAGTAATCGAGGAATTTATTAATAAATCAATAGATAATACATGGGAAATGTATTATCATTTTAAACAATACAGAAACGACATGAAATTAGGCAACCCTTCAATATGGTTATTAACCACAGTATTAAACCAACTATACAAAGTGAGATAGAACAATTCTCAGAACTGCTCTGTAGTTCTTGTTTGGTTTTCAAAGCAGCGGCTGTTCCTTTCTCTCCAAACGCACCACACTATGCATCCCGGAATAAGATCCCATACAATCCTGCTATCCTTATCACGAAATTTCCTTCTCCATGCCCGCACCACAAAATTCCTTACTAAAGGTTGACTAAAAAAGGTACACACAATAAATTACCATCATCTCATAATTTTCGAGATTTCTATAAGTAGATTATGAAGTATTTGTAGGGACTGTATTGGTACAGAAGAGACATTTCTGTCTTTCCATTTATTTCCGTCTTTCCTTCTATAATTGTACGACACATGTAATTCTATTTTTATTTTTTAAACACAGCAAGTGTATTTATACCCTATAAACGTAGGCAAACCTAAGAAGTGAGAAAATTCTCCCCTTTTCTTCCTTCCCACAAAAAAAAAGGAATCCATGGTAACAAAGAAAGATGAAGCAAAATAAAGTACATAGCTTGACACCCTATACAGCGAAATTGAGCTTAGCCTTATCTCGACCTTAATAAGTAGTTGAATTCTCTGATTTCTCTTTCCATGCAGACTTCACGTTCATCTAGGTCAAGGAAGGTTAGACATTCAGTTCGATGAGGGCATGTTCCTACACATTAATTTGAATTGATTGGGAAAGCTGGTTCCGTAGCATTAGAAACTTAAGTATCCGGAAAGAAGGAGGAATGAGGATGTGGAAAAGAAATGGCAAACAGAAACATTCATAATTTGACGACTAAACTTATCAGAATCTTCGGGCACCATGATTGTCCATACTGCCTCAGGCGAAAGCCGCGAAACTGCAAACCAGAAACATAAAAGCGTTATTTTTCCTTTTTTGGCATGGAGACCTCTTTATTCATTATAAACTACTCTTTTTACCAAGCAAAAAGAGTATGTTTGTAATGGAATGAACCTACTGCTTCTAAGGTCAACTTTTTTTTTTTAGTTCGTACTTTCTATTAGTTTGAAATCATTTAGATTTTTATGATTTTGAATGATTCAACTATGTGATTTGACAATTACTGAGCAATTCTTATATGTTTCTTTAGCATTTTCAGCTTGTTTGTTCTACAGGTTGGTCTTGTGTCAGACTGACTTATTAGCGCTGGATTCCATCTCAGGTGGTGTTTATTTTTAATTATTCATGATATTATTAATTCTGTTTTTCCATTTTCATCCGTTTTGAATTTCCATCCTTTGTTTTAAAATTTTGTTGAATTAAATTTGTTTGAATTTCTTGCCCCTTTGAGTCAACTCGTTCTTGCTGATAATTGTGGCTCACAAATGTAGGATATGACTTAATACCAATTGCTCCGTATTTGCTTAAATGTGACTGCTTTAATGATACTGTAGAACTAATATTCTGTGCCTCGTATCAATCCCTTCTTGAAAAATATATTATGTTCTATTTTATGTCATAGAATGTATAAGCGTCATGTCTGTCGTCGTCAATTTTTGTTACTGTTTTGAATAAAATATGGTCTACCTGGAACTATCTCATAGAGCTTAATTTGCTGCCCGAATTTTCTTAATAGGGTAAGCCTTCCTACCACTAATGGATCATGTCCTATAATAGTCAATGATGCACCGACACGGACACATGTTGGACACATTGACACACATTTTTTTTAAAAAGTACCGATACGACACATCGTTAATATGTCGATTAAATTCTTTAAAATACTTCATTTATATAGTACAAGTTTAATTTTATACTTGTTATTAATTATTTTTGTTGAAATATTTTAAATATGAGTACCTTTTTGTTATTTAATAATAATTTTAAGTTAAAAATATATAATATCTCTTATAAAAAAAGAAAAACGAATACGTTAGAGTGTCTGAGGAGTATCAGTATCCGAAACGTGTCCGATACAACACATTACCCTAGTTGAAGTGTCCGTGCAATAGAGATGATGGTTGTTTCCTGGGGACCTTCCTTGGGAGAGTATATATAGTGAATAAATTGTGATCAAGCTTAAGGTGCACAAAATTATGCAACATCTGGAACATATATTTCTTCTCATAAAACAGTTTTTCCTGTCATTGTACTCATCTATAAACTTTAAAGATGCCGTTTAAATTCATTTCGCTAATATATAGGAACTATCAGTTACTAATATGAAATGAAATATTCCCATGTTGTCATCATGTTCTTCCAAGATGCCGTTTAAATTCATTTCGCTAATATATAGGAACAATCAGTTACTAATATGAAATGAAATATTCCCATGTTGTCATCAGGTTCTGGAAGAACTGATACGAACATGTTTCCTGAAGTTGACAGCACTTGGAAAGTATGTAAGCGGTCTATTCTTGCAGCATTTATACTATTATATATTAGGGATGCAAATTATATTATTTCTTTCTTTTCCCTTTAATGTTGCTCACATTTAGAAAATTTTAATTTGTTAAAGTGGCTGAACTGTTAATTTAAATTTCTAAAGGGTGTAAACCAATTAATAAGAATACAGAATACCACCGACAGGATTGCAGTTCAGCCACTTCTCCACCCTTTAGAAATTGAAATAACAAGAGATGATAGTTGGTTTATTATTATTTTTGTCATCTCGTCCTTACGGTTAATCCTGTTAGTTTTGTTCCAAAATTTGAGTCTCATTAGAAAGTCTGGGGGAAAAAGGTGAATTATCTTTTTTGTTCCTACGAAGGGGGAAAAAGTGATTAGTATTGTTCTTGAAGTTGTAAATGAAAGTTTGAAATGTATTAAATTTGAACTTGGAATAAATCTTCACAAAATGGATCAAAGTGAAGTAATTGTTAGAGCTTTAGAGGTAGTGTTTATGAATAACTCCTGGCCTTCTGCACCAGAGCCCAGGCAATGCAATGATCCTCTGTAGGCAGCTAATGGCTCCTGATTGCTCAGCACCATGGGCTCTACCAGGACATCCTTCACGGGACATAATATTTCTTTACCATTCACCTATTTGTACTTCTCCCATTGAAACTGGGGAATTATTTTGCGGGGTCCTGCTACGCTTATTAATTTTTACGAAAATGTAGACGTTCAAATGTTCTACGACATAGGTGCAAATGCTTACATCGATCTCCTATGAAGAAGTTGTTTCCACAAGCCAGGTTCAAAGTAACTAGCATCTCTGAAAACCCATACAAGAAACAATAGGGCATATTTAGCGACTCAAAAATACCAATCACACAAAAAGAAGTTTAATGGGTAAAAGCCTTTCTCATGAAATGTCAACTTTTGACTCAACAAAATTCTCCACCTCACTTCGCATTTCAAACGAAAACCATAATAGCAAAGATTAGAAGGTATTAATGTTGCACCATGTACTTGCCTCCTTACCTAGAACTTTAGACAATTTCTTTGAAACATTGTGAATTGTGAGGGGTATTTCTAGTCAGGGGTGGAACCAAACATTTTCTCTTGTGGGGTCAAAAATTAAGAATGCTCGAACTCAAGTGGTCCAAGGGCGTTAGGATTCTTCCATGTATGAAGTTTTGAATGTCCATCGCTTGTATTTCTAACAATTATGGTTTGTAGATTTCAAAGTTTGTGTAGTGATTTGAAGAAAAGGTTCCATCTCCTATTTTGAAGTTTGAGTAGCAAGATGAACTTGGTTGAACTTTTCTTCAAAGAAAATAAACATCAGTACAAGTTTTATTAACATTCACAAAAGTGATATAGTTCAAACCTTTTAAAAGATGTTGAAAGGAAGAGAACTCCATATTGAGATATATCAATTGTTATTGGGGATAACTAGAATTTTAGAAAATCGTAAAAATTCAATTGGTCAAAGTCAAATAGGGACTTAAACTGAATAAGTGATTTCATTGGGGCTTATTTTACACTTAAAAATACTTAAGGGTTAGAGATGAATAAAATAGAAAATTACGGATTTAGTTTTCAATTATTGGACTTACTTTGCAAATCGGGGTTAGTGGACAACAAAACCAATTGAATAAGCCCAAATAAAATCACTTACTCAGTTTAACAATTGAGATATCTCGATATGGAGTTCTCTTCCTTTCAACATCTTTTAAAAGGTTTGAATCAATTTTGTGGATGTTAATGACACTTGTGCTGATGCTTGTTCTTTGAGGAAAAGTTCAACCAAGTTCATCTTGCTACTCAAACTTCGAAATAGGAGATGGAACCTTTTCTTCAAATCACTACACAAACTTCGAAATCTACAAACCATAATTGTTAGAAATACAAGCGATGGACATTCAGAACTCCACACGTGGAAGAAGCCTAACGCCCTTCGAGCCCTTGAGTTCGAGCATTCTTAATTTTTGACCCCACAAGAGAAAATGTTAGGTTCCGGCCCTGACTAGAAACACCCCTCACAATACACAATGTTTTAAAGAAATTGTCTAAAGTTCTAGGTAAGGAGGCAAGTACATGGTGCAACATGTAATACCTTCTAATCTTTGCTATTATGGTTTTCATTTGAAATTCGAAGTGAGGTGGAGAATTTTGTTGAGTCAAAAGTTGACATTTCATGAGAAAGCCTTTTACACATTAAACTTCTTTTCGTGTGATTGGAATTTTTGAGACGCTAAATACACCCTATTGTTTCTTGTATGGGTTTTCAGAGGTGCAATAGTTACTTTGAACCTGGCTTGTGGAAACAACTTCTTCATAGGAGATTGATGTAAGCATTTGCACATGTCATAGAACATTTGAAAGTCTACATTTTCATAAAAATTAATAAGCGTAGCAGGACCCCGCACAGTAATTCCCAGGTTTCATTGGAAGAAGTACAAATGGTGAATGGTAGAGAAATATTATGTCCCGTGAAGGATGTCCTGGTAGAGCCCATGGTGCTGAGCAATCAGGAGCCATTAGCTGCCTACAGAGGATCATTGCCTTGCCTGGGCTCTGGTGCAGAAGGCCAGGAGTTATTCATAAACACTACCTCTAAAGCTCTAACAATTAGTCACTTTGATCCATTATGTGAAGATTTATTCCAAGTTCAAATTTAATACATTTCAAACTTTCATTTACAACTTCAAGAACAATACTAATCACTTTTTCCCCCTTCATAAGAACAAACAAGATAATTCACTTCCCCCCCAGACTTTCTAATGAGGCTCTTATTTTGGAACAAAACTAACAGGATTAACCGTAAGGATGAGACGACGAAAATAATAATAAACCAACCATCATCTCTTGTATTTCAATTACTAAAGGGTGGAGAAGTGGCTGAACTGCAATCCTGTCGGTGGTATTCTGTATTCTTATTACTTGGTTCACACCCTTTAGAAATTTAAATTAACGGTTCAGCCACTTTAACAAATTAAAATTTTCTAAATGTGAGCAACATAAAAGGGAAAAGAAAGAAATGATATAATTTGCATCTCTAATATATAATAGTATAAATGCTGCAAGAATAGACCGCTTACATACTTTCCAAGTGCTGTCAACTTCAGGAAACATGTTCGTATCGGTTCTTCCAGAACCTGATGACAACATGGGGATATTTCATTTCATATTAGCAACTGATAGTTCCTATATATTAGCGAAATGAATTTAAACGGCATCTTTAAAGTTTATAGATGAGTACAATGACAGGAAAAACCGTTTTATGAGAAGAAATATATGTTCCAGATGTTGCATAATTTTGTGCACCTTAAGCTTGATCACAATTTATTCACTATATAAACTCTCCCAAGAAAGGTCCCCAGGAAACAACCATCATCTCTGTTGCACGGACTCTTCAACCAGGATAGTGTGTCTGTGTTGGACACGTTTCTGATACCGATACTCCTCAGATACACTAACGTCTTCATTTTTTTCTTTTTTTATAAGAGATATTATATATTTTTAACTCAAAGTTATTATTATATAACAAATAGGTATTCATATTTAAAATATTTCAAAAAGAATAATTAATAACAAGTATAAAATTAACTTTATAATATATAAATAAAGAATTTAATCAACATATTAACGACGTATCATATCGGTACTTTTTTAAAAAATTGCCTGTCAATGTGTCCGTGTCGGTGCATCATAGACCATCATATGACATGATCCATTAGTGGCAGGAAGGCTTACCCTATTATGAAAATTCGGGCAGCAAATTGAGCTCTATGACATAGTTCCAGGTAGACCATATTTTATTCAAAACGGTAACAAAAATTGACGACTATAGACACAACACTTATACATTCTATGACATAAAATAGAACATAATATATTTTTCAAGAAGGGATTGATACGAGCACAGAATATTAGTTCTACAGTATCATTAAAGCAGTCACATATAAGCAAATACGGAGCAATTGGTATTAAGTCATATCCTACATTTGAGAGCCACAATTATCAGCAAGAACAAGTTGACTCAAAGGGGCAAGAAATTCAAACAAATTTAATTCAACAAAATTTAAAACAACCGATGGAAATCTAAAACGGATGAAAATGGAAAAACAGAATTAATAATATCATGAATAAAAATAAACATCACCTGAGATGGAATCCAGCGCTAATAAGTCATAGTCTGACACAAGACCAGCCTGCAGAACTAACAAGCTCAAAATGCTAAAGAAACATATAAATGATTTCAAACTAATAGAGATTGTCAAATCACATAGTCGAATCATTCAAAATCATAAAAATCTAAATGATTTCAAACTAATAGAAAGTACGAACTAAAAATATAAAAACAAGTTGACCTTAGAAGCAGTAGGTTCATTCCATTACAAACATACTCTTTTTGCTTGATAAAAAGAGTAGTTTATAATGAATAAAGAGGTCTCCATGCCAAAAAAGGAAAAATAACACTTTTATGTTTCTGGTTTGCAGTTTCGCGGCTTTTGCCTGAGGCAGTATGGACAATCATGGTGCCCGAAGATTCTGATAAGTTTAGTCGCGTTTAATACTTACAAAGACAAACGGCAACCTAATTTATTTATGGAGTTCCAATGACAAATTCTCTTTGCATAAAGGATTTCATCCATTTGCGTAAGCAATTTCATACTAACTCTAGTGTTCAAATGCCACGGGTTTATCTAAATTGTACGGTCATAGATCTGACTGCGGCACTCATATTCAAGTTACCACAAAACATCAAGCAAAAGGTCTAGTTTTAGAAACAAGAATTCCTCCTCCATTAGAAGCAAAATCAACAAAAAATGAAATTACACTATCAATAACATACAGTAAAAAAGACAGCAACCATTAATAGTACAGTAACCAGGTTGCCGTACTTCATGCTTAAAAGGGGTTACTTTAATGTTGTATGTGGTAGGATTAAACAAATAATGCTATTTGTAAGACTCTTACCCATGAGCATTCTATGCGACAGTAAAGTAACTATCACATTCTCCTTTAAAGTCGGGATGGGTAAGCACTGCTTACAAATAGCACTACTCAGACTAGATAGAACTCGACAACAATGTCAGAAATTGCGGTCCAGATAAAAGCTACAATCTTAATACACCTACATGGGACACTACAGGGGTTCATGATAGACTCATAGAGTATTAAGAGAAATAAAGCTAAAATTTCTTTATTATACTGTTCGGTCCTCGACCAAACATACACTGAAAGAAGAAAAAAGAAAGCAAACTTACCAACTTCCAGTTATCATCAATCACTGGAAAACCAGTTATTCTGTTTTCCACAAGCATTTCCAAGGCTATTCGGCGTAGAAAAAAATTACAAACAATTAGTGTTCAAAACAATCCTGTAAAGTTGAACTTGAGCACAAATACCTTCATCCACAGTTGTGGTGGGCTTCACAACATGTAAATCTTCTTTTTTTGTCATGAAATCACCGACTGTGTACACTTCATTTCTCGGCTGACCGACAGAATTTAAATTCAATAAAAAATCATTCGGACTATAAAATTACAGAGATAGATAATACGAAACAGTGGATAAGGGGTCTTACGGATACAGAATTATCAGTTAAAGTTGAGCTGGCGGAACAGATAATGCTCTTCGGCGGACCCAGGAACCTGGATAGAGTGGTTAGTTTCCTGCCGGACCAGCATAAGGGGAGGCACGGTAGGTTGTGAGAGGCGACGGTGGCGGACGGCAGAAGAAAGAGAGGGAGGAGTTTTGACGTGGATACTGAGATCATACTTGGAAGTTTATGCTTGTCTCTGAAGTTGAAATGGCGGAGGAAGTCGAGGCGAGCGGTGGTATAAGTAACGGCGTCCCTTCAACGGAGTTTGCGAGACCGTCGGTTTTATTGGTTAGCGAAGTTGATGGGGATGTTTTGGATTTATTGCGCCGAAATAAATATTTAGAGACATTTTGTTCTTTGCAGAACCCATACCTCTATCCGCACACTGAACCAGTCATATTAATCTATGGAACCCAAAACCCATCGTCTAAAGTTTACAATTCAAACATAAGGGGATGATGTTTAAAATTCAATAATACGGTGGTAATTACGAATTTTTAAATTAATTAAAACAGATTTATTAGGGTAACCGTTTATTAGGGGATCTAATAAGATATGTTTAATTTTATCTTCATGTATACAATTACCCATAAATCTCTCTCATCAACTCCATTAACACCACCTCTCTCTCTCCTCTACCATAACCAGTGACGGACCCAGAATTTCGAGCCAGCACGGACGACCGTGGATCATCGGACGTTGTCAGTAATAAAATGTTAAGAGCCCCGTTGGATGTTCATTTTTATTTTATTTTTGCAAAAAATGTATTTTGTAATAGTGATTTGATGGAAAATGTGTGGTTAAGAATAAAAAAAAATTTTGAATTTGCATGTAATATTATTTTATTGAAAAATGCGCGGTTAAAAGAAGAGAAATACATCTATTTAAAAAAAGAAAAAAAATCAAATAAGGTCTAAAATTTAAATATAACAATTATTTTGTTCAAACTGAATATATATAATTTTGTTGTATTAATTAAAAATATTTATCAAATGATATTGTGGTCAAGTTTTGTATAATTTAAAGGGAGAGCGTCGAATTTTTACAATTGCATTAAAACCGCTAACATGTAACATATATTAGTTTAATAAATTTAGTTACAAATTCCATGAGTGCCACAATGGTTAAGAGTACATTTTCCAACGAAGAGGTCATGGGTTCGAACTCTCTCCATTATTCCATCTCATTTTGGTAAAAATTGTAGAATTAACAATGTTTGACAATAAAATTGTTGGGATGGGGATCGAAATGGAGACCTCTCACTTGAAAATACAAGGTAAGGCCAACTGAGGTACAAGAAATTTAGGTAAACAAAAGAACATACCAGGTATATAATGTTAAGG